TTTCCATAAACTATGAACTACTGAACTGAAACTGCGGCTTGAATTACCGAACTCGGTGAACTTAAACTCCTGTATCTGGTAAGCGGCTGATTCACATTTTTTCTAAACGTGCTATAACTAGACAGGAAACTAAAACCAATCAAAGTGTAAATTGTTCCTAAGTGTCAATCAAAGTTTGCCTATTGTCCGTTAATAATTAATTCCGTTGAGGGAACACTGTATATAAAAAGTTAAAGACGCACACTTTACCAACAAACAGTCGCGAGCCTTCGCTTAGCTTACTAAGTCCCACTAACTATACAGTGTGTTTACCTACATTTCTCTATTTCTTCGGGCTTAAAGTGCTTCTCACAGGTAAACACATTGTCTTTTTCTATCAGTTGGCGGAAGTTAGAATAAACAACTCTAGTTTTAGTGAGCTCGTTGAGCCAGTCTTCTCGCCACTTCTTGTATTCTGCGTTTCGCGGCGCCGGTAGCTTCTAGATTCCAATTACTTTACTTCTCCTACACGTTCCACAGCCAAATACTGAAAAATAGTCACCTGGAATAAATACACACCAACTCAATTGGCGGTTACTGGGTCTTTATTGCCTAAGACCATACGCGATGCTCCCCATGATAGGGAGGTAAATAGAAAAAAAAAATTTACAGATTGCACTAAGTACAAACAACCTTAATCGCTCGCTGATCGCAAAGAGAATGCTGACAAATGTGCCAACTGTTCGCTTATACCCGCCGGGCGTGGCGTAGAATTTCCGCTGCGGTATTTAATTGTGATAAACAAGTCTATCACCCACTAAATGCACACCAACTCAATTGGGGGTAATTGGGTCTTTATTGCCTAAGACCATACGCGATGCTCCCCAAAAACCCCCCAAAAGAGTCGGTGAGAAAGTCAGTGAGGGATAGACTTGCTCATCAAGTTGACGGCCATAAACTTGTACTGCAGAGAAGTATCGAGGTAAGTTCGTAGGCGTTAGAAAGCCAATCTCCTTGAAGCTGAATATAGTGCCCATGGACGCCACAGTGCAGCGCAAAGGTGGCTCCTCAGCGACGAAAAGAGTGGCCAGAGTACAGGGTTCCGTCAAATCCGTATTGCTGGAGCAACTTTCTGACTTTTGTAGTAAATGTAGTGTAAGTTAGTGGTTTAACATGGCCCCCGGATGTGTACACAAAAGCAGGGCCCTCTCGAAGCAAAGCAGAGTCATGTGCGTCTACCAATTTAAAGGCATTTACAATTGCTTTATGCGGGAAGAGTTTAGAGTGTTCTATCCTTGGAACAGGTACCAACAGGGTACGATTACGATACTGGATTGGTTTTGACCAGCGCACTAAGAGCAGCAGACCCCAGTTGTAAATGTAAACGCGAATATCGCACATGCGCAAGTGTTTTAGGGCTTCAAATGAGCTCGCCTACAGGATGAGGAGATTAGACTTGCGAAAGAAAGAGAAAAAGGCGATGACGCACGCAACCCAAAATATCGCGTCGAACGAGTTAGTGAGGACAAGCTCTCCATAGAGTTTATGTAAAATGTCTGGGGTGATAGGGAGTTTTTGCCGAACAACGTTGCCATGGAGACGCTTGATGCTTCGCATGAGGAGGTCTTTCTGAAATTTAAACAACGGGTCTTGCAGGGGGTTTGGAAATCCACATTATAGGGGCAAAATGTCTACGACATTCAAATAATATGCGATGCTAGAGGCGGCGAGAGTCCGTGCTAGGAAGACCACATAGCGTAATAATATTATGAGAAGAGCATGGCACTGGTCTGCAACCAAAGTAAAGGCAAAACCAAAGATAGGCTCGTAGTTGTGATTTGTAAGTAGCGGCGGTAGACTGCGCGAAAGCCTGTCCGCGGTATTTCCTCAGTTCGGCATCAAGTTGCTGTTCTTGAGCATGGACTGCAACTGTAGAGGTAATGTATTAAAGGCGTTACGTGACAGATGGGGCGTGGGCGTGACACAAGGCAGGTTGTTCGAGGAGCGGGAAATGAATTTTTCCACAAGGAGTTCGCAATGCGCAGGATCATGGAGACGAGAAATAGCATCGGCCAAAGTGTTAGCTACTGTGGGGATATATCGTGGAGTGACGCGAAAATTGTTTGTCGCTGAGAGCCAGAAAAGTTCGCGAAGCCATTGCATCGCAAGCGGATTACGAGAAGTGCCCTTATTTATCGCGCTTAGCGTTGTTGTGTTATCAGTTCGCACGATGATCCACCTATCGCGTAGTTGATCCTTCCAGCGTTCAAGAGCTAGAAGAACTGTGAATGTTTCTTGCAAGTTGATATGCAGGTTCGCCAGACTAGGATAGTTAGTGGGTCATTTAACGTAGAACCAATCGCCTTGAAAGAAGCCTCCTCCGCCAATCCGACAGTCGTCAGTAGAGAATTCTGCAGTGGGAACCGGGTCCGAGTCTACGAAAAAGGTTTTTCCATTAAAAACGTCTAGAAATTCTGTCCACCATTTCAGATCTTCACGCAGTTGAGCGTTAATTCGGACATGATGATGTGGGCGCTGCATGTGCTTAACAGTGTCAATCATGCGCCGTAAGAATGTCCTTCCGCCAAATACAACGCTTGCGGCATAATTTAGCTTGCCAACGAGAGACTGCAAGTCTCGTTTTGTGATAGATCGCTTCGCCGTTGTTTCGCTAAGTAACAATCGCAGCTCGCAGAGCTTGCGTTGAGGCAACGTGAGTTGCCTGCGCACAGTATCAATTTCAATGCCTAGAAAGGATAATCGCTGACAAGGCCCGACAGCCTTGTTCCAGTGAGTTTGGGTTTTGGTCGAGGGTCGAGGGTAAAATGTCGAGGGTCGAGGGTAAAACGTCGAGGGTCCGAGAAAAATGTCGAGGGTCCATAAAAAACTAAAAATCGTAAATTTTAAAAAAATTAAATGTCGTGAAATGTCAGAGGAAACTCAGAAATTACCGATGGATATGTTGTGACTTATTGTTTTTGTATACTTTCACGCTTCATTTACACAGCTTCCACAAATGCACCCGCAACCGCAAATAAATAGATGCCGGCTGATCGAGGTCAAGGTTAACTTTGTGGAAAGCGTGACTAAGCAATTCGTCCATCGAAATATGGTTTTAAATCTCGCAGTTTCTGAGTTTCCATCCACCGTGAAGTCATAAGCAAAGAAACTCGAACTGAGGAACAGCAAATAAAAAATGATTTCGCAACCAGAGATTCGCTAATAGAGGGGCTTTTAGCAACGTCTGACAAAAGATTGACAAGAAAAATGTACAAATATTTGTTGTTTGAGTACACTTTTTGTCATTTTTATCGATGGTGTGTTTTAACATTTGTTCCCTCTGATCCTCCAAAACGTTTTGCACATAACCGAAACTGAAGTTTTTACTGCTGCTGTTATTGTAGTTTTAGTCGAATTTGTCATGATTTCACGTCATACGCGGAGTGTTAAAAATCTTCTTTCTCCTGACATCATAATGAACTCGGGGATTTCAATCTGATTTAAATCTCTCAGAACTAACCTTCCAACAGATGAATGCTAGTGAGTAAGGAGCTTTAGCATATTGATCTTGGAACTCCGTAGAAAGTTCTTGTTTTTACACCACTTTGATTGACTAGAGCTTGTTTTCTTTAAGTCTGCACACGCCTTGTCAAGGATATTTCCGTTTACAGAGTGTCTTCCTCCATCCATTTATATGCAGGCGCGAGGAGACGACCGCGACGAAGACCGATTATTTAATTTCCTGTTCCTCAGTTCGAGTTTTTTGCCTATGACTTCACGGCGGTGGAAACCCAGAAACTGCGAGATTTAGGCGCTTAAGAGAAAACCTTCGATCGACAAATTGCTTAGTCACGCTTTCCACAAAGTTAACCTTGACCTCGATCAGCCGGCATCTGTTTAGTTGCGGTTGCGGGTGCATTTGCGGAGAGTTTGACTAATGGTCGTGGGTCGTGGGTCGTGGGTACAAGTCGTGGGTCGTGGGTGTGGGTGTGGGTGTGGGTAAAAGTCGTGGGTGTGGTTAATACTTAATAATAAAAATAACCATTTAAAATATTAAATATAATA